CCGCTCTACCCAGCTATCTTCTTTCATCCACCCAACCGCAATTCACTGCCAACAGTGCTAATTACCAGCGGCAAAAGCTTTTCAGGACTGTGACTTTTTTGTTTCATTTTTTTTCTCCAACATCCATTCGCGTTCGTTGGGAGCAAGCATGGTGTGTTCGAGCACTCGGTGTTGGAAGGTACAAAGGCTCTCCTCGCATTGGCGGCTGTCGCGCGGTCGCCGGAAATTTAATTAAACGCTTTATATTTCTTGCTCTTTTCCATTCATAAATATTAATAAATACAACAAAACATGATTCCGTAGTTTTTTTTTTCTTTTTCTCTTTTACTCCTCCCGTCCAGGCAACCTGTCGCCTCTTTCCTATGTGCGTTTCCGGAATTTTGTAGCATTTTTTCGATGCCTCTGAGCTTGAGTTGGTAGGCAAAGGTTCAGGACTGTCACGACCTTTGCGGTTTGGCGCCTTTGGTTGGACTTGGACTGCAGTTGTGAATCGGGTGTGCAATTTCCATTCGCAACTTCAAACGCGATCAAAATCTGTGTACTCGCTGTTTGTTGTTTATGGTGAGAAGCCGGCGAAAGCTAATTAGAGCACAGAGAAGCAGCGTAATTAGTCGATTAAATCTGGCTGGAAGAGGCACTCTGCACCGGACTTGGTTGATAAATTTCAAGTTGAAGATGCTTATCTCGATTAGTAAAATAATATGTGTTTTACTTAAACATTTACCCAATGTTCTTGTTCTATTATTTTTGTCAATTTTTAAGTGATTATAAAAATTGGACAAGGACATTTTGAGATATTTAGGTTTTTAGGATTTTTTAATTATAAACTAAGAACATTTTTTCGTACATTTTTCCCAGAAATGCAATATTTTTTCTATAACTTCTCTACACGCAAATCAAACATTCATTACATTGAATGCTAGTGGCATGTCCTATCATCCACGGCAACGAGTACCACAGAGAATGATTTCAGTTCACCTTGCAGACAATGCAATGATTTTTTTTCAGCGAACTTTATAGAAATTCAGTGAGCTTCATAAAACTCTATGGAGATGCTAGCTTGAAATCTAATATAAATTCTAGGAAAACTTCGTAAAAGTGGGGAACATGTTCAAGTTTTGGAAATTTCAATTAAGTTAATGAAACTATGTTTTATTGTAGGAAACTCTCTTAACATTCATGACCTTCTTTTGTCTTTAGCACTTCTTAAAAAATAGAATAGTTTAGGGAATTGCAAAGATTTTTTTTATAGAACTTATGTATGTTTGTATGTATGTATGTATGTATCAGAAAATAAACTAAAGTCTTAAAAGTTTGGAAAGCTTCATAGAAGGGCAACGAATTGATAGTAGTTCAGAAATCTTTGTACAAGTGGAGCAAATTAAATAGAAAATCGAGGAACTTCGCAATACTTCTTTGCTTAGCAAGGAATTATGTAGAAGTTCAAGGATATTGCCCTGTAGATGGGCAGCATCACGCCCGAAACCGGTAGACAAAAATATAATTTTTAATCTGTTTTAACATTACGATAGGTGCTGTGTCTTGTCTCGTGTCGTGTAGTTTTACGTTAGCACAAACTACAACAAAAAAGTGAATTTCAATGAACTTCATAGAAGCTCGACTTTCGTGGTATCCAGGGAGTTTTGATGATGAGAATATTGTACAAATTCAAGATGACTTTCTAAGATCTGGGTCAAAACAGTTAATGAGACATCATAGAAAAAATTCAATTCCCTGACAATGGTTTTTCTTGGTTTGCTTGCGAATTTCCTCCACCTGATTTATTCATAAGTTATGATTTTTAAAAGTACGAAAACTTCATCTAAATTATTCCAAAAAATTACCACCCCGATTTCTTTTAAAGTATTTTTTGTTCATATAACTATATAATATACCTGTGCGCAACATTTCATAAAATTTTGAAACCCTTTGGCCCATGTTGTCCGGTATTATAAAAAAACCCCAAATATCGATATAGATTGTAAAACAGTTTTTTCAACCCCGGTCTTACTATGGATCTTAAAATAGCTAGACCCTTCCAAAACTTCAATCGCAACAATTCTAACCTTTTTCGTGAAGTTTGCACAACAAGGCATTTTCACTCATGTATTACCGTGCTCGCGCTGATGATCAAAATCGCATAATATTGTCCGATCAACCAACGAAAACTTTCTCTCAGGGCCTCTTGATAGTTTTCTTTTTTTCTGTTCCAACTCTCCTCTCATTTTTCTACCTTCTTTTTCTGTCAGCAAACTTCGGAAGCAGAACCACTGCATTTTTTAGGCCAGGCGTTGTGACATCTACTAGATTATACCAAAACGCCACCATACCAGTCAGTGGGCACCTGGCCCGAAGTTGATGCAGTAGAGAGATGTGTGCCCTAATTAATCTTCAAGGTGAAGCTGCAGCATTACTACCTACAGGTTTCCCACGAAGAACGCGTGAACCATTGAGTTCTACCCACCGCTTTTTCTCGGCGGCTTTCCAAGATACTACTATTACTACTGCGGTCATTTACTCATTACATTTTTGTCTTTCTCGTGCACTTATTTTTTTAATTGGAGTGTTACTGAATAGCAAATTTATATTTCATAATTAAGCGTCGTTGACTCATGTCACAAGTCATTAGAATTATATAACAGTTTATTTATTAAAATTGTACAAAGCTGTTTGCAGAAAGATGGATAAATCTGAGTTGATAATTTAATATTTTAAATTTAATAATGTTTTGTATAGTAAACTCATTAATGTCATGTATAGTAAACTTAATAATGCATCATCAGAAACTTAAATCATAGCTTTCCGCAGCACTCGAGGATAGATGGATGTTTGTGGCTTAATTTGTTCCCCACCCTTGAGAGTCTCCACCCGAAAAAAAAAACTACAGCCTCTTGGTCGTCGAAAGTTGGAAAAGAATTATAATTATTCTATAATGAAAGCGGAAGTCGCCGCGTAGGGAAAAAACTTTTGGAATTGGTTTTTCTGCCTCCTACTTGGCTTGTAGGGTACGGGGTGCAGGTCTAGAGGTCGGATCACGCGAAACACACGACGACAACCGTGGCATGACGTGGCCTCAGAGGTTGTGTGGGGCCACGTTATCAAGATGGCTGCGCGGCAAATCGGAAAGTGGAAGTTATGAATAATCACATGGCAAACTGTAGAGTGGTGGAAAAAAAAAGTTAAGAAGGGAACTGAAGAATTAGAGGAAGGAAAAAACACCAGTGAAAGCTTAATGTATTTCTAACCCATAAAGGAAGTGGTAATTAATCAACAACAACTTCGTATACGCCTGGGCCGGCGTTTGGTATGTCTCTGGTATGAGGCAGCGGAAAAGGTACTCTTTCCTGCCACTACCGGAGGAAGACGGCGGGAAAACGGCCGGAATTGGCTCGGAAATGTTGGAGCGCGAAGGCGTAAATAAAGGTCATGTTTCTTTATGCAAAATTATTGATTTTCTGACAGCAGCACTGTTTCCACTTGCTACCACAACTTCTCGTACAATTGGTTCAGGAAAGTCGTATTTGACACCTCACCCATGTCACGAAACGTCGGAAGAAGTGTACCCTCGAATTTCCTTGAACTGTTTTGAACGGCGATGGATTGGATTCTCATTATGGAGTGATTTTAGTTTTTTTTTAGTTTATTGTTTGGTGAATCGAATGGTTGTTTTTTGAATGACAATAAGGAAATGGTGTAAAACGCACCAGTAAGGTAATGTCACCATGGTATTGCGTATAAAAATACATATTAATCAACTTTTACCTGTCGATTAAAGGTAAGTATTTAAGGGTTTGATGCTATTCTTTGTTAAAAATAGACAATATTTGAACTAAAAATAATATATATATAGGTTAAATGGCTCTAATGTTGGCCTAATGATCTAAGTTTGTGCCCATCGCTAAAAAGCTGCTATTTATCAATTTTATCTAGATGGACGCGTCATTAGGACGGTACTAATTGATATTTTTGGTCGCTATTGAAAATGTAATCGAATGCTGAATTTATGTATGGTCCCAAATTAGGGGCAATCAGGCCGACAATACATCCATTTCCCCTATAGAAAATATAGTTCATGTCAGTGAATTACAATAGTAAAAGTTTACATATGCAAAAATATGAGCATTGATATACGACATTATTCGCAGCATGCCCCGTAACGTGAGTAGATCACCTTTTCGTGGTACGTTACGGGATGTAAGATCTACCACCGATTCCTAGTTCTGACTACTTCACTGGATATACTACAATAGATCAAATTACTGGTCGCAGTGGTGCTAGGTCCCGAACAGAGGAAAAAAAATGTCAAGCATCAGCAGTGAGAAAACAGAATGATTATCGATCACAAATTTATTACAATTTTGAGATAACTGTGGGGTATTGTGCACCGTATCGTTTTGTAACACCTAAACAGCCGTTGGAATTTGAATTGCTCTTATGATTACCCCACGTTCAGCTCAGAATTTTATTGGTAATTCTGTTTTCTCATAGATCATGAAACTGGCAACACAGCAAGTTGATCCATGTATCATTTATTGAGAATTTTCATATTTTAGCCTTTAAAATGGAAGAATTTTCATAGGCTGAAAAAATCCATTGAAAAATCTTACATCGAGATGCCTTGAAAAAAAAAACTTTTTTTTAAATATTTTTACAGGTAAATTTTTATGTTAGAAACGTATCAAAATCTTTAATACTGCCTGTTGATTACAGTAAAAATTTAATCAAAATGTCTTTTTTTACAAAATATATTACCCCGGAAATATATTACCATTTCCCCGTACCCTCAGCAGTGAATACTATTTTGAGAAGATTTATTGTAAAATCATTTTCTCGATGTTGCATATTTTCATCTCTATGTTTCAGGTATCAAGAAACTTCATCGGACTAAAAAATGCCCTGAAATAGAATGTATATTGCAGTGACCGATCATTTAATTAGGGGTCTCGTATCACCCCACGTTCCTCTATATCTTGACATGGACCAGCAATAACGTTGCTTACCTGAACTAGCTAGTCGACTGCTGGTGGGACCAAACATCTGATATGGATCTGAAAAATACGAAGAAAATTATGTTGAATGTAACATTATAAAATTAATTAGATAAGTAAAATCAGATTAGCAAAACATCACGAGTAGACGAGGCACTATAGCATTTGAAAAGTTAGTTACATATGTTGTTCTGTGCTCTGGGTGACTGAGAAATGAGTTAAAATATTTCGTATTTTTTTTTAGTAAAACTTACGCAGTTTGTGGCCTAGTAAATAAAGGCACGATATTACCAAGCCGGAGGTGCAAAGTTCAATTACTGAACTGGTCTAGGAAATCTTTCGAGTTGGAAATTTTCTTGACGTCCCTGTACTTGCCACAGAATATACAAATTCATGCATATGTTGGCATAGAAAGGTATCAATTAATAACTGTGGGAATACTTCAAGAACACTATGTTTAGAGTAGGCAAAATTCTCGCGTAAGAAACGTAAAAATCCAGGAATTGTTTTAGATACGTTTGTTTATTATAGTGATTTTTATCCACTAGTTGCTTGAGGAAAGGACTTAGTGAAGTCTTTGAAAGTGCTGAACTATTCTTGGACTACCCAAGCAACCAACAAGTCCGCTAATCGCTATTTTTGCAATAAAATACTGATGTACAGCTGATAAAAACTTTGAAAGTCCTAAATCCACCTTATATTGCAAAAAGGATGATTACACACCAAATTCTGATATTTCCTTCCAGCAAAACGGCTTACTGATAAAGGTTCAGCAAAATTATAATTACTGAAATTCAGCAATCAGATTAGTTATTACTGAACACCCAGTAAATTAAAATTATTGCAGGAAACCAGTAAAATTGAAGTGTCAAATGAACGTGCCATCTTTTTCGGATTATTTGTCTATTGTTAAACAAGACGGGAAAAGAAGTCAGTGTTTCTGCTGTTAGAGGTTGTTTTCTCCTTGTTTTTTTCTTTGATAATTACTGCGGTAAGATATGGAAATGGTGACGAAACATTGTACTTAATGCCACAATATTTATTCCTAGGTTGTTCAAAACATTCATCAAGATGTTCCCGGAAAATTTTAGAACCAATCAAGGCTTATGGAGATGGCTAAAGTTCTTTATATTTTGTTTTCAATCCTTAATCGAACTTTGAAAGTTTCAGATTTGGCAGTTTGGAAATACATTTTAATAAATATTTCCTTATTTTAAACATGAGTAGCTCTTCCGAGTTTTATGTTGTAGTTATTGTTGGCACCTCTCTTTTTGCCGTGAGTTATTTGTAAGAAATTTGACTAATATTCTAAATTGAAGCTTATTTTTAAACTAATTATATGGATGCAGGTTGAAAGACATAAGCTTGAAAAAGCATTTCAATCAAACTTAGACGCAATCAGAGCAATCCAACTGAAATGCTCAACAGTAATTTCTCTTATCTAACTCGAGTATAATATTTTATAATTTATTAGGATATCTATTTCATTTCTTCTTCATAGCATTCTTATTCTATGGCTGAATTACGTCCTTACTGGGACTTTATGTCAGCTCTCAACTTAGTGTTTCTTGAGCACTTCTACAGTTGTTAATTGAGAACTTTCTAAGTCTGTACCATTTTTGCAATAGTATTAAGTTGTTTGCAGCGTCAAGTTTACTCGATCCTTATGGGAAATAACATTGCGGTGGTGCGCTAGACGTGACTGTTCGTTTCAACAATCACAGGCTACGTGGAATTTCGTACAAAGACGTGTTTGAACAAATATTTCTAATGCATGATTTTAAAGAACATATGCAAAAACATATAAATTAAAAAACGATAAACAATAAGCGGATACTTTCTTCGGTAATTTTGTTTGAGTAAAATTTTCTATCTTTTAGCTGTATTAAATCGATTACAGATGGGCTGCACGAGCACAATTTAAAATGATAGGCTTCTGAATTTTTGGCTGCTGGCTCATAAAAAAATGTTTGTGCAGTACGTCGTTTATATGTGCACCTACCTAACCGGCGATACACACATTCACATCAACAAGCAGATAAAAATGATACCAATGATAAACAATAAATAAACATATCAATAGTTTCACTGCCTCTTTCATGGCAGGATGGCAAAGCAATCGGTGATAATACGTAATACAACTTAGGGATCCCACCCATTCATTTTCAAACATTTCAAACTGAACATTGCATTAGGTCCTAAGTAACATTGACAGATTCTCTTCGTCGACTTTCTCTTTGTATCCCCACGGCCATGTTAAAACATTCCCAGGTATTTTCAGCACACAGATCGATAAAAGAAGCTTATATCTAGCATGTAACACGACAAACACAACAAGAAATGGTTCTGTGCTCAAGTTATTAACGAAAGAGAAAGTCGACGAAGAGAATCGATCAATGTTACTTAGGACCTAATGCAATATTCAGCTTGATTTATCGGTTATCGGTATAGCATTAAAACTTATTTGATTGAGTGGATAAGAAGTTGGAGCTATTTTTGAAAATCGACTTTAAATCAAAAAAAAAAAACACATTTTATTGAAATTTAAAGCTCGAACTTTATTGAAATTTTGCTTATTTGTATTTATAATAAAGTATTACATATGCCGCTAGATTAACCAAAATCCGTCCACTACGAAAAAAGTTTAAAAACGAGTGTTTTACTAAAATTACACGAACTTCATACCAGCTCTGCCAATAAAGTCCAAAACTATACCGATAAATCAATAAATAGTTGTTCAACTACCAGCCAACATTTCATAAATCTATCGATTCAAAGTTTTTCTAGAAAATATCTATCCAAGTGTCGCTCATTTTGAAAAAAAAAAAAATATCAGTTTCATATATCATCTGAAAGAGCTTCGTTTTCTGAGCACAACGATATTTTTTTTTTGAACACATACACTTTCATCTCGAGTTTTAAATCAAGATTTAATGCAAAATATTAATTTTACTGCTTAACATTAAAGTAACACACTGATAACTCGCTCCCATCCAAAGATCCACCGGGGGCGCTATGATGGCGATGAAATTTTAATTTAAAAAAATATCAGTTTTTATATATCAGCTGAAAGAGCATCGCCTTCTGAGGAACGGTATTTTTTTGAACCCATACTCTTTCATCTCGATTTTTAAATCAAAATTTAATACAAAAATTTAACTTTACTGTTTGACGCTAAACTAACAAACTAATAGCTCACTCCCATACACAGACACACCGAGGGGCGCTAAGATGGAGATTTTTTGCAAATGGAAGCGCATTTATTTAGTATAATAGTTCCAGTGTACCAAAATTGATGAAATTTTGGATTTAGAATCCATTTTTAATGCGGAATACGAATAAGCATTTACCTCGATATCCTTAAAGATCCCAATTGAAAAAAATCTCATATATGTGCATTACATCTCAAGTGACCGAGCAATTGTGTCAACCTTCTCCGATTGGATACAAAATAGGTGGATCTACTCATTTAGGCCAAAATTAAAAAGTCCAAAGTAATTTATAAGTAATTTATTTATTTGTATCCTCTTATAAACAGGAAATCCAAACTTTGCCTGACGAATAAACTTCTAATATTTAAACAAGTTTTTAGACCGGCCATGTTTTACGCTTTGCCAATATGGTCTAGTTGTTGCACTACCAGGAAAAAAGCACTTCAAAGGATTCAGAACAAAGTTCTGAAGATGATTTTGAAGTTGCCTCCCTGGTACAGTACTACTGAGGTACATAGAATTTCGAATGTTGAGACTTTAGAACAAATGTCCAACAAAATAATCGTTGCAATCCTCAATTGCAACGATTTATTCCCTCTATACTTAGATAAGATTTAGTTTTAGTTTTTAGTTTTAAGATATCAATTGTTATACTGACATGCAGGTTTAAAAAAAAACCTGTTTAAAATACTGAATTGCCAAGACAGGAACAATGTAAAAATACTTAGATATATATCATAACAATTAAGGCTGGTAAGATACTGTAGTAACTGGAGCACCTAGGTTAAAATGAAATGTAATTTATTTTGAATTTGAAACAAATAAAGAGTTAAAAAAAAACAAAAAAAAAACAAGCAGATACAAATGATACCAATGATAAACAATAAATAAACATATCGATAGTTTCACTGCCTCTTTCATGGCAGGACGGCAAAGCAATCGGTGTTTTTTAATTTTATATCCGTAATACAACGTAGGGATCCCGCCCATTCATTTTCAAACATTTATTGGTTATCGGTATACCGTTATAACCGTAATACAACGAAGGGATCCCGCCCATTCATTTCCAAACATTTATCGGTATATTTATCGGTAATACAACTTATTTGATTGGGTAAGAAGTTAGAGCTATTTTAGAAAATCGACTTGTTTTTTTCAAAAAAACTCATTTTATTGAAATACAATGCCCAAACTTTATTGAAATTTTGCATATTTAAATTTATAATAAAGTATAATGGCATATGGAATGCCATTAGATTTACCAAAATCCGTCCAATACGAAAAAAGTTGAAAAACGAGTGTTTTACTAAAATAACTCAAATTTCATACCAGCTCTGCCACTAAAGTCCAAAACTATACCGATAAATCAATAAATAGTTGTTCAAATACCAATCAGCCCCGTAACGTGGGTAGATCACCTTTTCGTGGTACGTTACGGGATGTAAGATCTACCACCGATTCCTAGTCCTGACTACTTCAAACTAGGGGAATAGCATTTTTCAGTAATCCAAGGAACACATCTTAGTCCTTGTTACTTTTTATTTTTATGTCTTGTTGATAGTGACAAGACTCGGCTTTGTCAACCGAGGATGATCTTGAAACAAGGCAAAAAAGGAGTTAGTTGTCTTCATCTATGTGATTCCTAATGTTCTATTCGTTGTTCCCTAGTTTGAAGTGGTTAAGACTAGGGTTCTGATGCATGGTCATTATCGGTGTCATTCCTTAATTTTGTTGCTAAGGAATCCAATTTTGTCTGACAAAGGTGCGCGCCTTTGGAGGGTGCTTCAACACTCCGAAGGGTATAAATAGCGGGACCTTTCAATTAGAGTCAGATCCTTGCGATAAATG